TCATTTCTGGGAATATATACCAATTTTATTAATTGCCTATCTTAAAATTCCTGTAAGTTTGACTCGGATGGAACTCTATCTTAAGACTAGAAGTGAGGTTTTTACTTTCTTTTAATATGATTACTATTATTGTTATTATTTAAATAATGACTTGTAAATCACAGCTTGATTTGGAGTTGCCCGTGTGTTCTGTCTTCACTGTAGTTGGCGGTTTACCGTGGTGTTGATTTAAAGAAATAAATGCCCATAGCAGCATCATGTCTGTTGGGAACACACGCTTCGCTCTCTATATATTGTAACTGAGTGGTTAGGAAATCTTAGGGCACATGGTGTTAACATGGGCCTTGGAGAGGAGGTGTGTTGTTCTAAAAGTGCTGAGAAAAGTCTAGACATTGTGACGGAAAGCAGGGTGGAACTGAATGTGGGCATTGTTTGTGTATTTGTCTGTTTCCTTAACTCTTTCGATGATCCGGGAGCATCTTCGCCCTCTGCAGGGAGTCCCGTAGTAATGATTTGTGCCTAATGCATCCCAGGAACGTGGCGGGTGACTGGAACACAATCGGAGGATCCCTAATTACCAACTTCTGTAAATAACCCAACATGAGAGAATGGCCTAGAGTGGAGGTCTTCAGGATCTTTGACGCTGCTGACACATTGAAGAACTTAACCAAGATCCCACCTTAAATGGGGAGGGCCCCCAGACAGACTTGAAGACAGAAAACAAAACAAAAGAAAAACTCTAAAATGGATCCATGCTGCCTGTCATGCCTTTTGTGGGAAAAAACATCTATAATACCAAAATGAGTCATTGTGTTTAATTCCTGACAGATCCCAGCTTGTGTGGATCAACAATGCTAGCCAATGTAATGTTATCGGTACCACGCTGGTGACAGGATGGCGTGTCGGGAATGGTGTAAGAATGGGGTTGTTCAGTCTACCTAGATCCTCTGGGAAAACTGCAAGACCATTTACATATCAGTACAAAACTCCTTTATTTCATTAAAAGATGGAGAGTTAATGTCAATTTATTAAGATCATGTATTGATCCTTTAAATTATTAAAGGTTTACATTTGATAGGACAAATGGGTTTGGCAGTGAAATATTTTTATACAATAGATACATTTTGGGCTTTTTATTTCCAGGACTATTGGGAAACGTGAGCAGGGTTGAATTTCATGGTCTTTTAGTGCAACCAAAACAATTTTTATTCTCTTTGTAACAGAATGGGCAAAAAGCTAAGGTTTGTATGTTAAACTAACAGTGGTGCAGGGTGAATTATTTACATCTATGTATGAATCTATATACTTAGGTGAAGAAAAAAAAATGACTCACATTCCTGTAACATAAAAGCCAATTGCTAGTTGACAAGCGACCTCTTTTCTCTGTACCTAGGTAAGCCCATGAGTATGGAGTTTTAATCTGTACAGAAAGAAATGTATTATTGAAAAGACTGGTCTTTCTGCTGCTGGGGAAATAGTAGACTAGCTGATTCTTCCAACAACTGTATGATCAGGGACGCGGTAGAGTATTTCTTTTGTCTTTGCTCAAAGCCATACAAATATAAATATATAAAGGTTATTAATAAATTCAACAAAATAAACTAAAATCATGAATATTTTATTTTATCAACATAACCCAACCTTTTGTTTTATTACTGAGTACAGATTTGACTCTGTCTTTCTATCTTTACATCTTCAGGTTTCCAAGAGGGCTTATACATGATAATCACAAAATTAATTATAGATATTCTATAAGGGTAGAAAGGAATTGAAACAGGACATAAGCTCTCAGCTAGTTCTCTGTATGGTATACATTGGGTTTTGTCTTTTAAATTCTTTTCTCTGTCATTCCTTAGCATATGGTTGTCCAACTTCAATACACAGACATTTCTCTGGTATTATTGGATATGGAGATTAGAGATAATTAGAAATAAAGCCTGTAATTTATATATACAAACCTATTTTATGGAAGTCTTGAGCCTCAGAAAGGCTTTGCATAAAGATAGAACCTCCCTACACATGTGGATTTGGAATGAGATCTGAAAGCTCAAGATAGAGTTTATTACAGTGAGTGAAGGTGTCCTGAAAACTGTAAGATAAACAGCAGGGCAGGAGTATTCATCAAAGAAATAGCCTGTCCCCAGGCCTTGGTGACCACTCTGCAGGTGAGTGATTCCCTCACGGATGCTTGCTTGTTTGTAAATGGCTATGTTGCCATTTAGGGACTGAAATGAGCATAACCTCTGCAGGACACTGCACAGCACCACCAGGCTGCTCCGGTAACTCCCGAAGGTCTTGGGTGATTTAGACAATGGGATGTGTTTTGAATTTTAGACCTGTGATTTCAAAGCCTGAATTATTGACACTTCCAAATACCAACATCTCTATTACCTTTCAGACTCACCTGTAAAGTCTCCATGTCTTTCTTTTCAACTTAAGTATTGATAGTTGTTAATTGCACTATGCTGCTTTGTTCCTGTGGACCTCGCTTTCATCATTTATGACACGAAGCTGTTTGAACAAGATTGCTCTCCCTTGGACCTCTATCCTCTAGAACACGTGCCATGAAACACACACGAGGTCCTTTTTTGTTCTCGTGCACTCTGGCTAGTAAAGATTCTACACATGTTCTGCCAATTTGAAAGATTACTTATGCCCTTAAATACAAAAGAAATGTGGCCCTTAAAGAAAATTCGGACGCTATACATCAATAGCTATTTTGAGTCCTGAAAGAAATGGTAAAACTTGAAGCAAGTGAGACCGGCTGCATGCAATGACTCACCAGCTCAGTTCTATAATTTTACTCAGTGTGTCCCTTTTCCAGGAAAATAGGAAGGAGCAAGGACGACTTACTGTCGTATTCAGGGTCAAGTGTACCTGCTACCGGCACTTGAAAGCATTGACTTTCATAAGCAATTTTGATTCTTTTCAAAAATGGCATCTATTTTTCATAAACTGGACATCCATGAAGTCCTCAGGAAGAGAGCCACTGCTTTGAAAAGAGAACTAGAGACAATACAAATCCCCTTGCCGAAATCCTTAGGAGCAAACCTGCCAGAGGGCCCACATTCCTCCCCACCATTTTGGAGTTTTTGACTGAAGGCCACACTCCTTCCTTCTCCGGGAGCAGTTGGCATTTCCATTAGTCTTTGTCATTTTGTTCTCCATCATTTCACTTAGAGCTCTAGGGTTGGAAAAGCACGAGCTTCTCTAGCTAGGGAAGAATTAATGACATTCACAAATTTGTTGCAGGAAAAAGAAATCTATATTATAAAAAGCCTGTGGCCCTGTCCCCATGACGCCGTAACTACCAAACAAGGCGCGGCGGGGTCTGGGATCCCACTCCCGTGGCCCCAGGGCGGGCCTGGGGTCCTGCTCCCACAGCAGC